CAGTGGTCTCGGGGGGCCCCCAGCCCTGGAGTTCCCGACCTCTGTGGTCTCTCGGGGGGCCCCCATCCCTGGAGTTCATGACTACAGTGATCTTGGGGGTCCCCAGCCCTGGAGTTCATGACCGCAGTGGTCTCTCGGGGGGCCGGGAAGGCCGGCCGGGCTTTGTCAGGTGAATTTTCCTAATGTGGCCCCCTGGGTTTTCCCAGTGGTTTCTTTTTGTTGGGGCAGGGCCTAGAGTGGTGTTGGGGGCTCTGCCTGCCCGTGTCTTCGAGGAGACAGGACCCCTGGGGGAGCTGCCCCTTTTTCAAACCCCCAAGCTAGAGATCCCCCAGGGACCTGGGCATCTGGCCCCCAAACTTCTCAACCTTGCTGACCCTCGAGGAGGTGCCTGCACCCGCCCGTCTCCTGCGATGCTCAAGGCCCGGCCCGGACTCAGGCTCTGGGGCTGCTGAGAGGCTCGGCGAGGGCCCTGCTGCCCGGCTTCTCCCTTCCTTGCATGTCCTGTGGCCTCAGGACAGCTGCAGACACCCCCAGGGTGGCCATGGCCCTGCAGAGCCATCCACGCTTCTGTGTCCCCAGAAGTCAAACGCTGTCCCCACCTGTTTCTCAGGACATAGACAGCCCTGGCCCAGGGGCCCAGGGGTCTCAGGGAGGCAGTTCCCAAGCACTTCCCAGCCCCAGACCCACTTTGAACAAGGTGGAAGTGAAAAGATAAAACACATTCTCTCACCCAGATGAGCACAGACCACCGTGGAATGAGTCTGTGACAGGCACCAAACGTGCTGCGCTGTATGGTGGTGATGAGAGACGGACAGAGACAGAGAGAGAGAGAGAGACAGAGAAAGACAGGGAGAGATAGAGAAAGAGAGACAGAGAAAGAGAGATGGAGAGAGAGGGAGAGAGAGAGAGAGAAAGAGAGAAAGAGACAGGGAGAGAGATAGAGACAGAGAAAAAGAGACAGAGAGAGAGATGGAGAGAGAGAGAGATGGAGAGAGAGAGACGCAGAGAGACACAGGTGGAGAGAGATCCAGGACGGTGGCAGGACTTCCCTGCGGACCCTCGGGGGCCACTGTGCCAGAGGGAAAGGGCCACCCCGCCTCTGTCTCCCGCAGGTGACCCGGACGTCAGGTACACCGCAGTGAGCAGCTTCATCTTCCTGAGGTTCTTTGCGCCTGCCATTCTCTCCCCCAACCTCTTCCAGCTCACGCCGCACCACACGGTGAGTGACTGGCTGAGGGACCGAGGCTTTCTGAGCTGTCCTGGGACTGTGGCCTGGGTCAGGGCATCTGTGTGGCTGTGGGGGCCGACCCTGTGGAGTGTGGAGTGCGTGGGGAGTGTGGAGTGTGTGTGGAGTGTGTGGAGTACGCGTGGGGTGTGGGGAGAGTGTGGAAGGCGTGGGGAATGAGGAATACGTTTGCCGTGTGTGGAGTACGTGTGGAAGGCGTGGGGAGTGCGTGGGGAGTGTG